CCGCTACACGACAGGAGCCGATAAGGAATCTACCCCACTTAAATCCGCCGGCATACGCAACTATCAGAGGAAGCTAGGTTGCCTTCTCTTCGCAGCCGTCACTTGCCGACCCGACCTATCCTACTCCGCAAGCCAGCTCGCCACTTATCTCAAGAAGCCTGAAGCAGAACACCTGGCGGAACTTGACCGCGCTCTGCACTACTTTATCAGCACCGCAATGATCGGCTTAACTTATCACAAGAACGCAGCTACACCAACCAAGCTAATCGGCTACGTCGATGCCGATCACGCCGGCGACACTGACAACAGACGCTCACGCACCGGCTACGTCTACCGCCTCGAGCCTATCGGTCCTATCTCCTGGCAGTCAAGCAAGCAGGAGTTAATCGCGCTATCTTCAGCTGAAGCAGAATATATCGCACTCTGCTCAGCCACCAAAGAAGGACTCTATCTTCGCGAGCTACTGGAAGAAGCGAAGTTAGCCGAGTTACCCAACTTTAACGTGTTCTGCGACAACCAGTCAGCAATTCGCATCGCCAACAAGAACGGCTTCGCGAACAGGACGAAACATATTGCCCTACGTTACTTCTTCGTGAAAGACGAGATCGAGAAGGGGAGACTCGAGCTGTCATACTGCCCCACATCCGAGATGGCAGCTGACTACTTGACCAAGAAACTCGGAAAGCAAAAGTTCGAGTATTGCATGCTGCTGACTGGACAGGGCCACGTCACCAGCAGCGACACTCCAGAAGCGAAGGGGAGTGTTGGAAACAATAAGACCTAAGCGCTTCAGTCGTGTCGAAAACACCGCATCAGAAGCGAGGCAAACTACACCGAAGCACCCGCGAGTCAACCCTCGGGGGTTGAAGAGGTTGCTGGAGGTTACGCGAAGGTCAAAGGTCGCTGACCTTTGACCCGACAAGTACAGCGCGACAGTTAAGGACATACAACTGACTCGTTACAGAGCAGTTGCCCGAGTCGTACTGTATCGAACCGCAACAGCAACAGTAAAAGTAGTTATAACCGTATCCTTTGATATTCCTTACACCACTATATATTCTTGTACTTTCCTGTTATAATTAATCTACTTTGCCCTCACATACTAGCGCAAGGTGGTTCACAATTACTTCACTAAAAGCTTCCGCTATTACAATTGTCCTACCCAGAGTTCTCCCCTGAAAAGATCCTAAGGGGCTATCTCAGCCCAACACATTTCAATGACATTCGAGCCAAGGAGATCAACGCTCTGCTGTGGAAGCTGTGAAGGACTGATGGCCCCTCAAGTACATGTTTGGATGACATTCGAGCCAAGATGAAGGCTCTGCTCCTCACTACAACAATTGTTGTAAATGATATTCGAGCCAAGGAGAAGGCTGCAAGCCAAGGGGTGCCCGTGTGAAGGTACAAGCGAATATGTTTGTAGATTGACTTGTATAGTGACAATGTTACAATGCTGAAGTGCAAGAATTCTACAGTGCTATCTAGCTACAGAGTGTGAGGTCAGCACACAGATTATGTGCCACGCAATCTCGGGCGCTCCTACTACCATAGATCACAAGGGCGAGAAGTCGAAGGGAGGCGGCCGCAACCGCAGATTTTCTCCCTCGCTCAACCCCTCCCTCACCTCCTCCCTCGAAGGCGATCGCCTTCGCCCCCTCCCAATCGTACCTCTCTCGCAGCCCTCACTCCCGTCTACCCGGCCCTAAAAACAAATTTGTTGCGACCTTGCTCCCACCCCTGGGTCACCGCGGCGGTTGCAACAGTCACGGCTGTCGCAGCTGTCGCAGAGGTCACAGGAGTCGCTGCTCACGACACGTTGATGCGCACTTTGATGTTTCGCGCGCAGTCGTCGCCGATGCTGCTGCCGAAATACAGCGTCGTTCGCGCCTCAGTGGGCGCAACTGTGTAACGAACCATTCCCCAGTACCCCTGCGGGGCCACCGTCTTGGCGAAACCGAACCAGCACGCGGTGTAACCGAGCGGCGTCGCCCACTGTCGCACGTTTCGCATGCCGATCCAACGGAAGACTGTATAGATGGATGGGCGGGGAGAGGGGCAGAGGGGAATGACGTTTGAGAAACGTGTGAGGGTTGGAATTCACGTTGCAATGGGGTATGTGAGGAGTAAGGATGGGCCAGAACAGCCGAAGAGCCCGTGGGGGTTGGGAGTCAGGTTGCATTGGGTCGAGTGAGAAATATTGGTGCGGCAGTGCGAGAGAAACAGTGGGGGTTGGGAGTCAGATTTCAGTAGGGGGAGTGAGGGATATTGGCCGTGGCAGTGCGAACAAACACCGTGCTATGAACCGTGCTGTCCAGAGCTTATCAGAAGCACTCAACCGCAGTGCAGTGCAGTGCGGTGCAGTGCAGTGCACGGCCCTGTTTTCCCAGTTCAAGCAGATTGTTGGTCGAATGGGGCGCAGGTAGTATAAGCTTGACCATCCTATGCGCCTGTATATACGCAGAGAATCAAGGGCAAACCGCCATTACGGTAGTACCAAAACGTGAGTCGGCTCTTACCGAGTACGTCGCCAACCACAACGGTGGGTTGCTGCCACGAAGATACGCCATACGCCCACGGGCTGATGAAACTCCAAATGTCGGATCCCTGCCCCACTGTTATAATTTTAGCGTCCGCCGAGCCTGCAACATCGGAAGAAATATGTAAACAAATCTTGTCACTGAGGCGCGTCAAAATTGGGTGCCACGAAGATACGCCATACGCCCACGGGCTGATGAAACTCCAAATGTCCGATCCCTGCCCCACTGTTATAATTTTAGCGTCCGCCGAGCCTGCAACATCGGAAGAAACATGTAAACAAATTTTGTTACTGAGGCGCGTTAAAATTGGGTGCCACGAAGATACGCCATACGCCCACGGGCTGATGAAACTCCAAATGTCGGATCCCTGCCCCACTGTTATCATTTTAGCGTCCGCCGAGCCTGAAACACCGGACGGAACATGAAAGTAAAATCTCCGTGAGACGTCTCAAATACTGATGTTAGATCGTCGCCCCTCTGTTATCGTTCTAGCGTCCGCCGAGCTTGCAGCATCGGAAAGAACACGATGGAGGAACACGTGGAGAGAAGTTGAAAGGAAGGAGGAGATAGGGAGACAGGCAGGAAAAAGGATAGAGGTCTTATAGATGATGCAAGATGTGCGAATCGAGAGGGGAATCAAGAAGCCTTACCGATGCAGACTCCAGCGAGTACAATCCCGAGCAGCAGCAGATGCCGAGAGGCCATGGCTCGTGATGAGATACGGGAAGAAAAGTTATGGCGCTGCGTGAAAATCGCTGGAGAAACGGGGCTCGAAGTTGGGATGAGTGGCTGTACTGAAAAGGAGGTATGTGCGTGGGAACGAAGTGAATTTATTTCGACTATTAGACACTAACGAAGCTTTATCTGTTCAGCGTGATGAATGCACGCTGATCTCGTCAACAGTTTTCCTGCAGATTCTACCGAATGTCGAAGCTCCCAAATACAAGCAGTGGAGAGGGAGGACCGAGCAGCCAAAATTCGCATGGTGGGGTGGATGACGGCGAGAGAACCTGGTGCGAGTGGTCTGATTATCTGATACGAGACCGAAGGCGGGGAGCGCGGGTCGGGGGCAGGGCTGTCGATTGGTTTGGAGCCAGAACTTGAGAGGCTGAGGTGCCCCAAAAGTTGCCCTGAAATTTACGGGCTGAGAGCTAACCTAGCACTTGAAATCAGGGCTATCATTATTTCTTGCGCTTTCGTATAGGGAAACCTACATCTAATCAGGCAATAGGCTGAGGTCGAAACATGTCGATGGATTTGACGGGGATGGGAAAGGAAGGAAGTGGAGGAGTGACTGGGAGGAGGTGGGGGGACGGGTGAGGGAATGGGAGGGAGGGAGGTATAGTATGGGACATAAGGGCTAGCCGCGGGATCTGCACTTGAAATCCGGGTTAGGCCCACAACCAGCACTTTACGGGTACGGGCTGCCCTCAAATCCAGTCCTTAAAACTCGGAAGCTAGGCCGAACACAGCCTTTATGTTCAGGGCATTAAGGGCATTTGCCCTTGAATCGTCAGCCCTGGTCGGGGGGATGCACAGTCTGAATTCTGAATTCCTTCAGGCGCTTCGTGCACCTTCAGCAGGGCAAATTCTAGTATTCTCCGGAGCGCGGATTTGGGGAACATGATTGGAAAAATGCGGGCGCGGGAACTCTTGTCAGCGGTTCGGCGAGCTCGGCGAGGAGATTAGGTGGTGTCAGTGATTTCGCGAACACTCGTCAGTGTGGGAGTAGGGGTCGGTGGGGTGAACCAAAACTGTCGGCGACGAAGAACTATAGCGAAAAAAGACGTAGGTTCATTGACACACACCCTACCCGTGGGGAAAAAGTATTTTGGATGACTTATGAATTCATCAATAATGTGAAAGAAAAACACTTGCGTGAATGGTACAGATACACCCTTAATTACTCCGAATATTAACCTCAATGCCTTGTTACCATAAGTGAATATAATATTTAGTATATAGATAATATTGTGAAGTTTCTTATGTTTTACGCATCACACTCTAATCAAGATTAGGACTGTTAACAAGAACAAGAAGCATTTGATAACATCTTCAAAACAGCTTTTAGCTAGCATTCCTCTCGCATACCAGTCATACATAATGTAGAACTCACGAGAACAGGCTTTGGTGTACTAACATCGCTGCTGCTTGTACATCTGCTTATACATTTGCTTGTAATATGCGATTCTCTCCTAAAATCGCAAGCTCAAACCCCACCATCCCCTTCCTGAAACACGCTAGATCCCACTTTCAACATCCCACGACCTACAGTAATTTCCAAAATTTATCTCCAACATGCCAACAACATCTGCAAGAAGCAAGCCGCATCCTAGCAGCATCTCCCACGTACGGTACTGCTGCTTCTGCTGGTGAGCAATCTTCACTAGAGCTTGCTTACAAACATCCACGATCTGACCCAACCGTCCCTGTGCAACCTGGCATTTGAGGCGCCTCAAAAGTCTACTGCTGCTTCTGCTGGCGAGCAATCTTAGCCAGCGCACGCTTGCGAATGTCCACATTCTGACCCAACCGGATGATATTGAACAGCCCCTCCGGGAATCGATAGATGATGCCCCACATGACCCCGTGCGCCCAGTACGGCGTGACCCTCACCTCCTGCCCCACCCAGTTGGCCCCGTGCTTTGCGTACAGGTCGGGGGATGGGCAGGTGAGCGACGCGTGGCGGATCTTGGACATCTTGGTCGCCACGAACAGAGGCGCCTGTGGGAGGGAGCAACAGGCAGAGGAGAAGGGAAGAAGCATGGGGGGGACAGGTTAGGGGATGGGCAGGAGCGATGCGTGGCGGATCTTGAACATCTCGGTCGCCACGAACAGAGTCACCTGCGGATGGGAAGCATCAGGGAGAAGAAAAGGTGACATGGAGGCATAAAGAGAAGTCCTCGATTTTTATAACTTATGTTTGTGGGGCATGGCGGAGTTTGAGCATCTTGAAGCCTGCATTTGGGGAGCATCAAATGGACGAATCGGCCAGTGAGAACATGGATTGACATGGCGACTCATGGATGGGTTTAGATTGACGAGGAAAGTGGATTGAGGCTCGATAAGGAAACGTGGAATGGTGGTACTGGATGACGTCTGGAGGAGGAGAGGAGGGACGGGGCACATTGCGTGGAGGAGGTGAAAGAGTGACCAAGATGTGAAATTGCGCGCAGAGGGTGGGTTGTGGGGCGATGTGAAGCATGGTTTCAAGCTGAACTAAGGATGACAATATGTATACACTTGCGGCACAGAAAGCAGACGGTAAGGAGGTGACATATGAGCCACGATGTGAGGCATAGAATGAAATGACAGGTGACTGAAAGGGGAAGTCCGGCTGAGAAACACTGTTCGGTCGTTTGAGCAAGGAAGTGGCGGCTGATTGTAAATTTTAATGTTACAGAAGGCTCACTCGAGTTTTTTTCACTCTCAGGATTCCTGGAGCTAAAAATACCCATGTTATTCGAAATCCCGGGTGTAGCTAAATGGAAATGAATACACCAATGCACCAAGTAACCTCAGTAAAAGTAGCCTTCTCGTATGTTTACGGTTTATATCTCCGCGTGTTAGACAGCGCGCCATGAAGGCTCCTGCAATAGTTGCGATCACCATGGCTCACTTTGACCTGACGTCACTTCCCTTGAAGGATATGCAAGATGAGATTCACCTAGGCTCTTACTATGGATGCGGCCTGCCTGAATTGTCAATCGATCCACTTTGATGATATTGACGGTTAGCCGTAAGAATTTGCATAACCGTCGGTTAGACACGTGTGTTTTAGGCTCTCGCATTAATCGCGGCTCACATGAATCTGGACGTCAAACCCCTTGGATGCTATTCATGGTGCTATTCACCTCAGTTCTTATGATGGCTGGGGCTCACCTGATCCGCTCGTTGATGCCCTTTAAGGCATTCTCCATGACGCTATCCATCTAGGCTCTTGCAATGACTAATGCTCACCTGAGCCTCCACGTCGATCCCCTTGGATGCATATTCCATGCTGATGCTGCGGGCGAATTGGCCCGCGAACCTGCAGCTCGATCCCCCTGAGTGCTATCCATGATGCGATTTACCTGGGCATATCCCTAGGTACGAGGCTCACCTGAACCTGCACGTCGATGCCCTTGGATGCATACTCCATGTTGATGCTGCGGGAGAATTGGTCCACGAACCTGCCCGGAAAGCACGTGAAGAAGATAGGGGAGGGATACAAGGAAAAAATATTTAGCGAAAACATACAAAAGCATGGTCTTGTATGTATGACATTGAAGCATTAGAACAGTAACAGAAAAAAAACCCCACACCTTTCCGCTCACATTTCAACGAAAAGGGAAAGGACACTTGGTACGATAACAAAATTTAGGCTTGCTGAGACTTACGCCTTGGTGCCGGCATAGACGGAGTAGAGCGGATCGGACGGAATGACCGTTGCCACACCCGATCCGATGTTCACAATCGCTCCACGTTTCCTCTTGAGCATGTTCGGAATCACGATCTTTGTCAGGCGGACCACGGGCTCGACATTGATGTTGATCAGATCCGATATAAGCTTGTCCTCAACCTCGTGTAGGTACTGAGCGTACGGATAAGACATCCGGCGTTGTTCACGAGAATGCCGACTTCCAATTCGTCGACCAGCTTGCGAATCTGATCGTACGCTGACGTCAGAGCCGGGCCGGGATTCGTGAAATCCGCAACGACGATTCGCGTGTCGACCTTGTACTTTGACGAAAGCTCGCTCGCGACGGCCTCGAGTTTCTCCTGGGTCCTGCTGACGAGAATCACGTTAATTTTCCGCTTCGCGAGCTCCTTCGCGAAACCCTTACCGATGCCGTCAGTGCATCCGGTAACAATCGCCCAGGAGCCGTAACGACGGAGGTTCTTGGCGGGGCGAAGGAAGAGGATCCAGATTCCGTTGAGGAACGAGAGCAGGCCTGAGAAGAGCCATAGGAGGCCGATCAATGCAAGGCCGATCACAAACAGCTCCGAAGGCTGCTTGCTCTTAAGAACCTCCAAAGCCGCGATCAGCGGGCCCGCTTCAGCCATCTGCCTAACAACGAAATGGAACAACCACCTGAACAACAAAATTCAGACTGCAAACGAAGCGGGAGCGAGCACCCAAAATAACGAGAACTCTCCGCACTCTGAAAAGCAGGTGTGAGGGGGAAAACCCTTATGCCAAGACGTAGAAATTTAGAGTGATTTGTTGCGATAAAGCATGTGAATAAAGCGGTGAGAAAGGGTGCAGAGAACTGCTCATTCATGCAACGGAATCTGGTCAATTTGGGTCGAGGGATGGGGAAGACGGGAGGAGCTAGTGCAGAATACTAGGGCGGGAACTGGACGAGATCGACGGTTGGTAGAAAGAATAGGAAGGCGGGAAACGTGGATGGAGAACCCAGATGTGAGGACCACGATTATGTGGACGATACAGATGGTAGGCAGCGATACGTTGTCAGAAAGGCCACCACGCATTGGTCGTCTACAAACAGAATACGACATAGTCATTGACTCAATCTCTCCGCCATAAAGCTCTCCGCTTCCCTGAATGTTTCCTTCCTCGTTTTCGTTTGCTCTCAGCTTACAAAGTTGCCAAACGAGTACAAAGTATGAGCGAAGGCATGAGCAAATACTTCTAAGCAGAACATGCAAACGGTAACGCGGTGCGTGCGAGCTAGCTAGTGCGATGCTGGCAGCGAGGCTCCTGATAGCCCCGAAGCGTAGGCTGACTCAGGCCAGAACAACGATGCATTTGGCAAATGCAACAGCACGCGCTAAGGTGGCGAAACACCGTTATCAATAACGGGGGAATAAACGGTTGGTCTTGTACACGATCTTGAGATGCGCGATAAGTATTGTTGGAAAAATGCTCTGACACAAAATTGCTAAATCTATTACAAAAACATTACGTACGCACACCAAAATAGAACTGCTCTCCACTAGTAACGCCTAATAGGGCTCTTCCTCATCTTCATCTACATCCACAAACCCATCACCATCCCTCCCCTCTTCTTCACTACTACCCCCTTCCTCCACCTCTCCTCCTGCTCCACTCCCTCCACCCCTCCCCTCATCTCCATCCCTCTCCTCCTCCCCTTCCTCTTCATCTGGTACTCCTACCCCACCCATATCACCCTCCTCTTCTCCTGTTCCTCCTCCTCCTCTCTCTCACCCCCCTCCCTCTCATCCCTCTCTTCCTCCTCCCCCTCCTCCCCCACATGACCTTCCTCCTCTTCCTTGGTATTTTCCCTCTCAGGTTCTGCATCCCCCTCTTCTTCATCTCCCCCCTCACCCATTTTCCTCCTCTTCCCTCCACCTTCCGTTTCCTCCTCAGCATTCTCCGCCTCATCAACCTCCTTTCTCTTCATCCCTCTCCCTCTTCCCCTCCCCCTCCCACCCCCTCTACCCCCTCCTCTCCCCGCTCCTTCCCCTGCACCTCTTCCTCCACCTCTCCCCCCTCCTCTTACCCCTCTCCCTAACCCCCTACCTCGCCCCCTTCCCCCAGCTCCCACTCCCCTCCCACCTCCCCTCCCCCGTCCCCCCCGCCCCCCTCTTCCTCCTCGCCCCCCTCCCCTAACCCCAACCTTCCCTCCTCTCTTCTTCTTGCCTCCCAACCCTTCCACCTCCCCTCCTTCCTCCTCTCCCTCCTTCCCCTCTCCTTCCCCCTCCCCTCCTTCCCCCTCATCCCCTTCCTCTGCCTCCTCATGCTCCATCACTTCCAGCTGTGCACGATCCGACGGTCAGAAAGGAGCCAGATACGTAATCGGACGGCCACAAATGCAACCCCAGGTTCGGAATCGCCCCAGAAATGATATATGGAAACCGAATGCAAGGAGGGACAGCCAACGGCAAGATAGGCAAGGAAAGACAAGGGATAAGCAGGCAGCAGGGGAAGGAGGAGGAGATTGGACCATCACGGGTCAAGGAAAACATAAGCAGTAGTTTCGATATCCCAAGCGAAGAAAGCGCATCGAGCGTTGGATGTTGTGAGTCGGTTTGATCTGTTTTTTTAAGAATTCTCAGAAAGTGCATCGAGCATTGGATTGGATGTTGTAAGTCGCAATGGTGAGACGAGGAGGCTTGAAGCAAGCAGGGTTGCAGTAAGCAGGAGCAAGAAGAACAGGCAGAGGTGGAGGTGGGAATAACTGTTTTATAGGTGCTTAAATAATTGTGCAAGAATAACAGGCAGAGGTGGAGGTGGGAAAAACTAGCAGCAAATGTGGGGATAGAGGAGAGTAAGGAGAATTGTGTGGAGAGAGGGTATGAGAGTGCGCAGAGAGAGAAAGAGAGAGTGAGAGCAAGTGTGCAAAGAGAGGATAAGTTAAAGTGTGCGGAGAGAGAGCAAGAGTGTGTGGAGAGAGAGTGTAAGAGAGGCTGTGTGGAGAGAAGATAAGAGCAAGTGTGCAGACAGAGGTTAAGAGAGAGTGTGCGGAAAGAGGGTAAGAGAGAGTGGGGAGAGAGGTTAAGAGAGAGTGTGCGGAGGGAGGGTAAGAGAGAGTGTGCGGAGGGAGGGTAAGCGAGAGTGTGCGGAGGGGGATATCCACATCTTTGGCCGCGCCTCCCGCCATGATTCCCCGTAGCTCCCCCTCCACCTCCTCCACTATCTCCGGCTGCACAGAATGAGAACCAAAGAGGGGAGGATAGTAGAGAGGATTAAGTGTGCAAGGGATAGTGGAGGAGGAGCTAGGGTGGGAAACGATTCCCCGTAGCCCTTCCTCGACCTCCTCCACTATCTCCGGCTGCATAGAGTGAACGACAGGGAGAATGGAAGACAGTCAATGAGGGCAAGAGAGAGATGATTCCCCGTAGCTCCCCCTCGACCTCCTCCACTATCTCCGGCTGCATAGAGTGAAACAGAAAGAGAATGTAAGGGCAAAGGATAATAATGAGAAACTGAGTGCAAGGGGGCATGATGCCTGTACCTCCCCCTCCCCCTCCTCCACTATCCCTGGCTGTCAAGTTTGAAAAGTATTGAAGTGGAGGGGGGTAAAAGAGAGAAGTATATGCAAGGGAGCAATGATGCCTCGCAATGTTGCCTCGCGATGATGCCTCACGGCTTTGCCTCCACATCCTGCACTACCTCCGGTTGGCCGGCAGGGAAAGAAAGGAGAAAGTCAAAGAGGAAGAGAGATCATAAGTAAAAAGGGAGACAATAACGAGAACTGAGTGCACGGGCATGGGAACCATGATGCACCCGTTGCTCCGCCTTCCTCTCCTCAGCAATTTTTGGCTGGCAGCAGCCAAAGAAAGGCGGAGAGGAACAGGGAAGAAGAGAGAGGAGGCGGAGAAGGGGGGGATGATTTCTCAGCTTCGTGTCGAAGAACATGATTAGAGTGGAGAGACATCGACACGTCCCCCATCGATACATTGCAGTGGTCGCACAATACAGTGAGAATCCATGCAATGCAAGCATGGTCCATCATAAACCCATGCTACAAGCATCCCATGGAATAAGTATGAGATGAATACAGCACACTCGCATTCAGGTCAGGTTCACGTCTGAATCGTCGAGTTGAGTTTTGAGGCGCCTCAAAAATTAGGTCAAGTTCACCTCACGTCTGAAGCGTCGCCTCTGGACGTCGCGTATGGGCGGGGTGAGGTTGTTGCGCTGAATGCAAGTGCATGATGGAATGAATACAGCGACAAGTGCACTACGAAATGCATGCAGCACACTTACGTTAAGGTCGGGTTCGCGCCTGAACCGTCGTCTCCGAACGTCCCGCATGGGCGGGGTGAAGCCATTGCGCTCAGTACGGCAAGCAAGTGGGACTAGGTGCTTACTGTCATCACATGACAGTGAACACAGCACACTCACGTTAAGGTCGGGTTCGCGCCTGAAGCGTCGTCTCCGCACGTCCCGCATGGGAGGGGTGAGGCCGTTGCGACTCTCCGGTCCCTCAATGGGTCGTTCTGCTTCCGATGGCTCCCTCACCACTATCATCTGATACCACCATCACACGGGGGCAAAAGTCGCATCCCATACAGTACAGTACAACAGCCACACGAAGGGATGGGTGAGCCCGTTGCGGCTCTCCGGTCCCTCCATTGGCCGCTCTGCCTCTGATGGCTCCCTCATCACGATCATCTGATAACACAATCACACCACATGGCACAGTCACACCACATGGCACAGTCACACCACATGGCACAGCCACATGCAGTACAGCAGTCACACGGGAGGGATAAACCCATTGCGGCTCTCTGGTCCCTCCATTGGCCGCTCTGCTTCCGATGGCTCCCTCACCACAATCATCTGATACAATCACATGCGGTGCAATCAAATGCGGTAGTGCGACAATCAAGGGCATGGTAGGAATAGGTTTGTTGCGGCTCTCCGGTCACTCCATCGGCCGCTCAGCTTCTGAAGGCTCTCTCACCACCATCATCTAACAGTCACATGCAGAATAATCACACATGGTGCAGTCACACACAGTAGTAATGTGATGACTATCAGTCACAATCAAGAGCATGGGGGGGGTGAGCCTGTTGCGACTCTCAGGTCCCTCATTGGCCGCTCCGCTTCTGAAGGGGCCCTCACCACTTTCATCTAATACAGTCACATGCAATACAGTCAAACAGGATGGTGTGACAATCAAAATAGTCACAATCTAGAGCATGGGAGGGGAGGAGTGAGGCCACTGCGGCTCTCCGGCCCCTCTAATGGAGAATCCACTTCTGATGGTTCAATCCACTCAAAATAGTCACAGACCAGATCACACGTGGTTCAGTCATATGCGGTAGTCACATGCGATACAGTCACATAGAGTAATGTCACAGTCAACCCATTCGAAATGAAAGAGCAGGACACCAGACGATGCAATAAACCACAGGATACGAACGCTATACCTACACCCAAACTACCCCTCCATATAATCAAAATATGTAGTATAAGAGTTATCTTCCCACGTCCCACCTGCCCTACGTCCCCCACCTGCCCCACATCCCACCTGCCCCACATCCCACCTGCCCCACATCCCACCTACCCAGGCTACCCTCGCGTCCCACCTGCCCCACATCCCACCTACCCAGGCTACCCTCGCGTCCCACCTGCCCCACATCCCACCTACCCAGGCTACCCTCGCGTCCCACCTGCCCCACGGCCGCCGTCTTGACGAGCGAGTTGTCGTTGTAGGTCTTCCACGACTCCACCACCACCGCTGCTGCTGGCAGATCATCCAGCACACACCCACCTACTGCCACGTCCCACCCACCTGTCCCACATCTGCCGTTTTAACGAGCGATTTATTGTCATATGTCTTCCACGACTCCACCACCGCTGCTGCTGCTGGCAGATCATCCAGCACACACCCCACCTCCTAACCCCGCGGCCCACCTGCCCCACGTCCGCCGTTTTGATGAGCGAGTTGTCGTCATACGTCTTACAGGACTCCACCACCGCTTGCAGATCCAGCAGAAACCCATCCTACTCCACCTCCCACCTGCCCCTCGCACCACAGCCCACCTGTCCCACATCGGCCGTTTTGACGAGGGAGTTATCGTCATACGTCTTCCATGACTCCACCACCGCTGGCTGTTTCAGCAGACACCACCCTGCCCCACATGCCACCTACCTACCCCCACGTCCCACCCACCCACCTGTCCCACATCTGCCGTCTTGACGAGCGAGTTGTCGTCATAGGTCTTCCACGACTCCACCACTGCTGGTAGGTCCAATAAGGAAGCTGAAAAACACTCCCCACCCATCACAAAGGAACCGGTGCGCCCGTCAGCTGGTTCGGGAGGAGGTGGGGTGGGGTGGGGTGGGGTGGGGTGGTGAGGACGAAAGAGCTGTCATCATGCGTCCTCCAGGACTTCACCACTGCTGGCAGGTTGAGCAAAGACGTGGGGAAGGCCTCTCCGCCCATCAAAAAGGAACCCATGCGCCCATCAGCTGGTGTGAGTGAGGTGGGGTGGGATGGGGTGGGGTGGAGTTAGGGGAGCAGTGCATGCGAGTGGTGAGGACGAGCGAGTTGTCATCATATGTCTTCCACGACTCCACAACTGCTGGCAGGTCCAGCAGAGATGCGGGAAACGATTCCCCACCCATCAAAAAGGAACCCGTGCGGCCGTCAGCTGGTTGAGTGAAAAGGAGAGCGGCGTAAGGGGAAGGACGGGATGTCATCATAGATCCAGCAGAGACGCGGAGAACGATTCCCCACCCATCACAAAGGAGCCCGTGCGGCCGTCAGCTGGTGTGGGTGGGGGAGCAGGGAAGGGTGAAGAACGAGATGTGATCATACGTTTACCACGACTCCACCACGGCTGGCAGGTCCAGCAGAGACGTGCAAAACGATTCCCCACCCATCACAAAGGAGCCCGTGCGGCCGCCAGCTGGTGTGGGTGGGGGAGCAGGGAAGGGTGAAGAACGAGATGTGATCATACGTTTACCACGACTCCACCACGGCTGGCAGGTCGAGCAGAGACGTGCAAAACGATTCCCCACCCATCACAAGTGAACCCGTGCGGCCGTCAGCTGGTTTGGGAGGAGGTGGGGTGGGGTGGGGTGGTGAAGACGAGCGAGTTGTCATCATGCGTGTTCCAGGAATCCACCACTGCTGACAGGTTGAGCAAGGGCGCGGGGCAGGATTCCCCACCCATCACGAAGGGAGGGACTACCGTGATGGTCGGCTTTTGCGAGAGAGGTGGAGGGGGGTGATGAGGAGTGAACGGGATAGAGGAGGATAAGGAAGGCAGCCGCAGCAAGGCAAGGGGAAAGGATTGCGCCTGCTGGTTGGGAGTGCAGCGAGGGGGAAGTGGGAGGTAGGTAAGGGTGGCGCTAACCCTTCTTGAAGGTGGGAGTAGCAGTGCGGCCAGTGACGGCGGTGTGACTAGATAACCGTTTCAGCAGTGGGGTGTGAGAATATTCCCACTTTTAGATCCACCAGCTGCAAGCTGAATGGCACCCACCCACCTTGGAAGAACAGTTCCATGGCGGCGTCTGCGGCGGCGGCCGTAGGGTCATCACACTCCAACCAGTAGTGACTCGATCTTGTGACGCACCTGCACCCACCTACCTTGGAAGAAGAGTTCCATGGCGGCGTCAGCTGCGGCGGCGGGGTCTTCCTTCATTTAATTTCGCCTGTTATAAAGGCGGATTCGATCTACACTCCTACCACCTACCTTGAACCGATCAACAACCCACCCACCAACCTACCTTGAAGGCTTCAGCTCAGCGGCGGGGTCTTCCCTCATTTGAATTCGCCTGTTATAGAGGCGGATTCGATCCACACTCCTACCTCCCACCTTGGAAGAAGAGTTTCATGGCGGCATCCGCAGCGGCGGGGTCTTCCCTCATTTGAATTCGCCTATCATAAAGGCGGATTCGATCTACACTCCTACCACCCACCTTGGAGACTTTTGAGTCGACTCAAAAGTCACCTCGGGTTTAATCTACTCTCCAAGCTACCTACCTTGGAAGAAGAGTTCCATGGCGGCGTCAGCGGCGGCGGCGGGGTCTTCGCGCAGCACGCGGTCCATCCGCGAAGCCAGCGACGGTGGTAACCGCAAGACGAAATGCTCCTCCATAAGGTTTGCGAACTCGGGAGTCACAGACAGGTTAGGAGCTGCCTATCAACTGCCTATCAATTGATTGCAGGGTCGATGCTAACGCAAAACGGCTCCGAAAGCTGCTAGTAGCTTCAAGTGAACTAGCCGTTAGAGTTCAAATCGCTGACGCGAATTAACACTGGCGAGCGTGCGACGCCTGCACGAGTGACGTTGTACTAGTGAGTGACGGGTGGGAGCGAGCAACGGGAGAATGCGAGTGAAGAGAGTCCGCAGCAGGAATGGGAAAAGCCGTTGCTGCGAGATCGCGCTGCTGCGTACTAGACTTAGCTACTTATACGAGCACTGGCTGGAAGAATAAGGAATGCCAATGACATAGTTGTACTGCGCTAGTTCTTGCCTTGGAACACATAAATGTCAAATTTCCAGGTTTACTACGAAGACAGTTACGAGCTATAATCTCAACCAATTGCAACATCGGGGACCGCTGCGTCGAACCACGAGGTTCAACTTGTCCACTGCGAGTGCGCGCCGATTTGTACTTAGCTCCGCCTGGAACGAGCTAGCTGGCTGGTAGCTCCGCCATAGAAGTGAAGGCTAGTCGACATAGGAGCGCAGCGGCACACCAGACTAAAAACTGCAGAAACCGTCTCGACCGACTCATGCGAAGTACAAGTTGCAAATTACAATTTTGGTTTTCGCCCGCGAATCGAAACGGGACCCGAACTAAAATGAAACTCGCCTACTCTGTACTTGCTGTGAAACGTGAGTGATGGTCCCCTCCTCCCCCCTATCTACACGACCTTACTCGACCTCCAAAGTTTAGGGAGCCCACTAGTTTTAGAACAGCTATGGTAGTATCGAAACCCTAGCTCGGTCTGCTCGCAACCTTCATCAAAATGACCTCGTTGCACGACATTTACAACTCAAAATACGCATATCACATTTTCATCCTACTGCCGCATCGAGGCACCCTGTATCGAAGATAGATTTCTCGACTTGGTCAATGAATTCGCTGCACCAAGTTCGCTGGATACCACCAAAGCCACCAGTCCCAGTTCGAAGCATTTCGCGAAATGAAAAATCTGACCAGCTGCCCTTGACTGACGTGGTGCGCTCTCATTCGTTAATCAGATCTCCCAAATAACCTCACCACAAAAACTTTGCATTTTCCCAATCCCGAATCGCGTATCATTCGCGCCTCGATTTCACGCTCGAACTTCGGTCTTTCCACTCGAATTTGAGATTTGTTCACTTCCCCCCATCTCAAACATAAATACGTCCCAACTAACTCATAGCCAGTCGTCCAGTTTATCTGCCCTCTCTACCGTCCGCAGCCAGCCCGTCTTCATCAGCTTGTGCTCAGTCCTGCACCAGCATCATGGCTGCTCTCTCCTCCGCCACCGCGGCTTCCGCCGCTTCTGCGTTCGTCGGCTCGAGCGCGGAGCTCGCGGCGAAGGTCCGCAACGTGGAGTGTCGCGTCACGATGCGCAAGACCGTCAGCAAGGTCGCTGACAACCTGAGCCAGTGGTACGGCCCGGATCGCAGCCTCTTCCTCGGCCCGTTCAGCTCGCCTCCCTCGTACCTGAAGGGAGAGTTCCCCGGCGATTACGGGTGGGACACGGCGGGATTGTCAGCGGATCCCGAGACCTTTGCCAAGAATCGCGAGCTGGAGGTGATTCACTCGCGCTGGGCCATGCTCGGCGCGCTTGGCATCGTCTTCCCCGAGCTGCTGGCGCGCAACGGCGTGCCGCTGCAGGAGGCGGTGTGGTTCAAGGCGGGCGCGCAGATCTTCTCCGAGGGCGGGCTCGACTACCTGGGCAACCCCGCGCTCATCCACGCGCAGAGCATCCTCGCCACGCTCGCCGTCCAGGTGCGCTCGGCGTGAAGATCTCCTAGCGTTGTTCGTTGTTCGTCGTTCTTAGCTGCGCTCGCCGTGCAGACGCGCATCGTTTTTTTTCCTAGTTCGTGCCGTTCTCTTCACATTCCCTGCTTTGGCCCCCTTCGGAAACTTTTTCCTCCGACACCCTTCCACGTTGAATATCGCGATCTGCGAACACACACGCTGACGCATTTCTGTGTAATGTGGTAACCCGATGCGTCGTTCCCCAGGTGGTGCTGCTGGGCGCGGTGGAGAGCTACCGCGTGGGCGGTTTGGAGGGGTTCCAGGAGGTGGAGGATCCGATCTACCCGGGCGGCGCGTTCGACCCGCTGGGGCTGGCGGACGATCCCGACGCGGCGGCGGAGCTGAAGGTGAAGGAGCTGAAGAACGGCCGCCTGGCGCAGGTGTCGGCGCTGGGCTTCTTCGTGCAGGCCATCGTGACGGGCAAGGGGCCCCTCGAGAACCTCGCGGACCATCTGGCTGACCCCACCGCCAACAACGCGTGGGCGTACGCGCAGAACTTCGTCCCCGGCGCGTAGAGGGGTGGAGAGAGGTGGATGAGCTTGGATTAAGTTTTGAGGGAGATTCCTGGGATATGGTGAAATTGCACATACCTGTACAGCCAGGATTTGTGTATTACATGAGTCAATCTGAATCCATTCAATCAGTCCCACCACCGATGGGAAGCTGTCGCTTATAAGTAGGTAGCTGTGAAACGCAAGTATCAGGTACGGCTCATACCGTACCTGATCTGTTATGTATATGGCTCGTGCTCCTCTTGTATTGAAACTGTAAGAGGGACTTGGTTCATCTGGTGGGCGGTTAAAAGTAGGTTCTTGCCACTTGGACGCGAAAATACTGCAAGCTAGCTTGATCATATGGATGTCATAACGCCCTCCTCGATTTCACAGACTCGCCCACACAACTTCTGTTACCTTCCCACATACCAGTCCAGATAGGATGATAGGCGATCTCGCCAGGTGGAAAGTTGAGACCTCTAATCTGTCCATGACTTCTCAAACCAGCCCAAGTTGTTCATGTTTTGTAAGGCTGACAGGGAAGCAGTAGAGTTTTTGCGTTGTGGACTCTGCCTCAAACAAAAGTATTTCCGGTTCTTATATCTACAATGAACAGAATGCACGATATTGTTTTTGACCACAAGCAGGCTTGACACATTCCACCTATCAACTACGGTACATCACACCCCCCTCACAATCACACCAGCACGAAGCAACTCCCTCCGAGCCCTTTCCAAGACCTTTCCCACTTCCACTTCCAAAAAACGCAATCTAGGAAAGCTTCTAAGCACCTCTCCAATGCCTGCTGCCGTGACTTTATCACACCTGATCACCGTCAAGCTAGCGAGCGCTCCAAGTCTGCTTCCCACCACCACTGCATCTGAAAACTTGTCACTATGTTGCACCTTCAACTCCTCCAGCTTAACACATGCGGCAAGCAATTCGAGCCACTCCTCCTCCTCTAACCCTGAGCAGAACAACAGCGCGAGCCGCTTGAGCTTCCCAAAAACAGCCGCTCGAGCAATGGATTGGAAGGACACTGGCCGAATGCGTGAGACTGGGGCAGAGGAGGAGGAGGCGTGGGAAGCGCAGGAGGAGGAGGATGGGTTCCCAAGAATGGGAAGGTGGTGGGGATGTGGTGAGCGTTGGTGAACAATTTTAGGGTCAAGGATTCCAGTGGAGGGCACAACACTTGCACAGGGATTGCTGGCTGGCAACCTTTAGTACTATTGCCTCCTGACTTGCTGCTGCTTATTATCTCACACTCTGCTGCCGCTTTTCCTGCTGCCGCTTTTCCTGTTGCCACCTCCCCTGCTGCCGGCCCCAACAGCCCTCCGTCTTCTAGTGCGCTTTCTGCCTGCTGCAATCCTTGTGGCGCCCCTCCTCCCACTCTGTTCACTGGTACTCTTCCATCTGCTACTTCTGCCGCCACTCCTCCCACCCCATGCAAAGTTGCTCTTCCATCTGCTACTGCCGCCGCAACAGCCCCTGACCGCAGAGAAGCAGCTGTAAGAACAGGGGGTTTGCGCATGGTCCGGGAGCTATCACACATGCCACGCGCTGCCTCCTGCAGCATATCTACCAGCGCCTCCAGCCTCCGCATAGCCTCCATATGTGTCTCCACCGCACCAGACCGCTCCCCACCCAGCACCCTCTCAGGCAAAGCTTCATCAGCCGGTGTGCTGTCCAGTATTTCATATCCTCCTTCCTCCTCCCCATCCCTGACCTCTTCTTCTCCACCATTCACCTCCGTGGAAAAGTACCCTGCCGCCCGGCAGGCAACAGCAGCAGCTGACTTCATCAGCTTTTCCTCCCAATCCATAGCCGCATTGTACTCGCGGATCATGTCAGAGCCGGACCGGCACACCGAGATCCCGAACCTGATCTTCCCAAAGCTGGCAATAATCCGAGCCACAGCACTCTCGCCCCCTGCTCGCGCCACCTCAGTAACCTCGGACAAGCGGCTCTACTGGTTTGGGTAGCAGTCTCGACGAAATCGAAAACCTCACGCACTGCTAGAAGTTTGTCCGCCTGTGCTGCCTCTGCCTCTGTGCGAATATCCACGTACTTTCCCCAGTGCTGGTTGCTTACCCTCGGTAGTACCGGCGCCTCTGCAGCTGCTGCAGGAACACTAGCTCGTCCTCTCTCCCACACATCCGCTCCTCCTTCCAATCCTCCGTCTCCTCCTGCCTCCCCTCCTGCTTCCTCTCCTGCCTCCCCCCCTGCTTCCCCCCCTGTCCCTCCTCCTGTTTGTACCACCCGCACAAGCATTCCCGCAATGCCGTCCAATGATACCCGGCACGGAGAAACGGAGTCTGAGACTTCAGACATCCCTTCCACACTGAGCGACCGCAGGGCAGTGCAGGCTGCAAACACGCCCGGGCTGAAGCAGGGGAAACCTGCGAGGCTGAGGGAGTGGAGCTGGGAGGAACAGTGCGAGAGCAGGGCGCGGAAGCCCTGTGGTCCGAACAGACGATAGGTTGTTCCGTGGAGGGAAAGGGAGGTGAGAGCGGGGTTGGCTTGTAGGATGGGGATGAGGGAGTGGGAAGAGACGAGTGGGCAGGAATGAATTGTGAGGTGGGTGAGGGAGTGGAGGGAGCGTGAGAGGGAGGAGAGCTCGTACGGGTCGATGGTGCAGGAGTGGAGGGAGAGGGAGGCGAGGGAAGGGAAGAAGGCAAGGGATGCGAGGGCGCCCTGAAGTTCGGCACAGTGGATCGTGAGGGACGTGAGAGACGAGCGGAGAGAGGATGGGGGGGAGGACTCCAGGGAGGAGGACGAGGAGGAGACAAGGGAGGAGGAGGAGAAGGCGAGGGAGGAAAGAGTGGAAGATTCGGGGGCCCCGAGGGTGAGAGAGGTGAGGGAGGAGCAGTGGGGGATGGAGAGGTAGTCTGAGGGAACGTAGAGGAGAGAGAGGGAGTGCAGTGAGGGGAATAGGTGCACGGGCGGAAGTGACGGCTGCCGTGTGTAGGAGATACGCGAACTCAGCTTCAGTGAAGCCAAGAGCCTGCATGCAGAGGGAAGGTGCGAGGAGGGAGGGAAAGAAGAGGAGGAAGAGGAGAGAGGGATTGCAGCGAGAGGAGACAGTGCACGGGAGGAGAGAGAGCTACTGCAGATGAAAGAAAGGCGAACACAATAGCACAAGATTAGCTCCACTCATGAGCGTGCACGAGGGGGAAAGAGGGCAGGTGGGAAGGGGAGCGGGGGAAGAGGGGGAAGCGAAGAGGGAGGGGTGAAAAGTGAGAAAAGGTGGATGCAAAAAGAATGTGGACTTAGTTTGCAAGGAGAGAGAAACACTCGACGGAAACGGATGGATGGCGGGAGGGATGGGTGTTGGGGGGAGGGAGGAGAGAGGGGGAGGGAGGAGAGAGGGGGAGGGAGGATGGGGGGGGGGGGGGAGGAGGGGAGAGGGGGAGGGAAGGTGGCGGGGACATAGAAACGAGCAGAACTTTGCACTCGGCGCTCCGTTCAGGGCGCGTTAAGGCTTGTCCTGACATGATGAACGGAGGAACGGACGGACGGACGGTGATGGAAGCAGGGACTACGCAAAAGATTCTGAGTGAGAGAAGATGCGGGAAAGCGTCAACTCACGGGCATTGCTTCGCGAGATTCCGCCACGCTCGACCGTTGACGTTGAAACTATCCCAAGCCGCCACCACCAGCTTCAGTTTTTTCAATTTCGGGCAGCCCGCTGCGATCCCCGCCATCAGCTGATTCCCGAGACCACGGGTAATCTCCACGGTCAGATCCTTCACGTGGGTAAATACCCTCGAATAATCGTCGAACGTTTTCAGCCATTCTCGCGGATTCGAAGCCTTTGACCTGGAGTAGAACTCAAGTCGGAGCGCATGTGGCGTGCGCCGAGAGAGGCGGCGGAGGCGGGAGCAGGAGAGAGCGACGTTGCGGCGATCGGTTGGGTGGTCTACGAGGGAGAGAATGATTTGGAGAAGCTCATCGGGGAGAAATAGCAGCCTGCTGTTGCTGGCGTTTACTATGCCTTCCGACATCGCGAGCTGATAGAGGAAAAGTGAGTCTGGAAGACTCCAGAAGCCACAGTTGGACAAGAGAAACGGGAGACAAATGAGCCAAACGAGGAGGAGAAGCAAGAGTAAGCGGATGCGAATGATCTGCTACAATGAAATTCGTAGGGAAGACGTCTGGCCAGATTCTAACGAGATCGGACGTTTGGTAGAGGAATGAGGATTGTACCCAGCAGATCGGGCAGCCCGAGCCTTGCGGGAAGCCTTCCGTGGTGGGCCTGGTGTTAGGGCGAAACTCGACGCACCACCACGGGTTCCGGAATAACCGCTACGAGAAGGGTTTACGGCGCTTCGGAAGAAAAGCGCCGTCACGTACCTTTGCCAATTCGAGCACACGAGGAACGGAAGGTTACGACTCAGACAAGGCAAGGGATGGATCGAACGACAAAGTCTGTGTTGAACGAACTAAACTCCCAGGGAGGACGACGAATTTCCCGATCAGCCAGGATCCTCCTCTTGTCTTAATTCGTTCGGAGTTGGACTGGCTTAAGATGAAGAATTTGATTCATTCTCCATGGTTGGGTCCAGGAGGTAGGAGGAACCCAAATCAGCCGATCTGAACCTCCTGAACGAGCGGAAACGAAGCTGCACGATAACCATGACGGCATGGATGCGGCGCAACAAACGACTGTTTCCACGTCAACGATCCGATCGCGTGCGCTGGAACGGCCCTGCCTGACGCACTCACGCACCCACTCCACACACACAAACGGTAAGACGTAAATGCATGGGGAGAAAAAGGGAGCTCTCGAGGTGCTGCTTGTGGGCCCAGGCTCTAGGTGACACGGTTCTGCAGAGCTCCCACGGGCACCGAGATTTGACTTTCGAATTTCTCTAGGGTGGTTGCACGGGAATGGGAGGTGGGGGGAGGGAAAACGAGCCTCGGGAGAGGGGAGGGTCCCTAGAACTGATGTGGAACGCAGTCGTCCCCTAACGCGTACATTCCGTGGGACTGACCTAGTACACCACTCGAATTTTGAGCTGGGAGGCTAGCGTAAGTGCAATAAAAATATATCACAAAACAAAAGCGGGAACAAGGAAATTTGAAGGCATTGCATGCAGCATTGTATTACCCTATTCTACATGTGGTTACTAGACGTATAGGCGAACCCCACCGGGTTCATTGAATAGAGGAGGAGAGCCGTTCGGGAAAAGCCCGAGTTGGGAGTGGCAAAGAAACACGAGGCGAATGTCAAACATATTTATATGGGTTATATTACTGGTAGGCTGTAGTGGGGTAGATTCTGTGGGGTATAACCCCTTAGGGTTTTCCTACTTGTAAAATTTCTCTCGATAGTGAACCTCACCTTGCCTAGCTATCTCAACATGGTATCAGAGCAATGGTCCTAAGGACCTAAGATTGGGGCCCACCTACTCATGAGTTACTTTCCCTACAGCTATACCTACGTGCCTACCTACGTGCCTACCCACTGGGTAATGGAGGTGGTGGGGGTGGCCGTGGGGGTGGAGGTGGTAGGTGGGGTGGCGGCAGGACCGGGGGCGGTGGAGGCGGCAGCGGCGGTGGTGGGGGAGGAGGCAGCGGCAGTGGCGGTGGAGGTGGGAGTGGGGGTGGATCTGGCCAGAAGGGTGGCCCCACTGGTGGCCAGCAGCAGCAGCACCAGCAGCAGCAGCAGCCACAGCAGCAGCAGCAGCGTCCTCCCCTCACCTCCCAGCAGCTCAATGACTGGTATGCTGGGCGTGGGGCGTCTCGGGGTTCTGACCGCTGCCCCTATGTCATTCGTACTGGCCCCCGCCAGGGTCGCCCCTGCAATGGTTCTCACACCGAGTATCGCTGTTTCGCTAGGCTAAGTGACGCCTGGCGCGCCAAGTACCCTGATGCTGTTGAGTTCCCCAACTGGGCAGAGCTGCTTAGGCGTGATGTGCCTATCTTTGATCTGGACTATGATGTTATTCTTGCTGCCATGTATGCATTGACTGTTAGTGCTGAGGGTGACTGCTACTTGTGTGTGCCGCCTGACCCTGGTATTGACCCCGGTATAAGGGCTGCAGCCCTAGGTGCTAGTGAGTCTGCTCCCCTTGGTACTGAGTCGGCTCAGGCCTTGCACACGTTTACACTTGACTCTGGTGCTTCCCGCTGTTTCTTTCGCGATAGCACCACCGTCACTCCCCTCCCTGCACCTGTCCCTGTCTCCCTGGCTGACCCCTCTGGGGGCCCAGTGCTTGCACGAGCCACGACTGTGCTCCCGTGCCCGGCGGTCCCGTCTGGTGAGCTGTCAGGTCTCCACGTTCCCTCGTTCTCTACGAACCTGGTGAGCAACGCCGTCCTCCAGGATCACTGGGTTGACACCTGGACTCCTGGAGGGCAGCGTGTGGCGATCTGCACGTGCTCCAAGACTGGCCGCCACCTGGCCACGTTCACTCGTGAGCCGGGGTCTAGTCTGTACACCCTCACCACTGTTTCACGCTACACTCCTTTGTCTCCTCAGCTGTACGCGTCTGCTCAGGTAGCTACCCAGTGTGAGTGCCGCCGCCTGTCGCACGACACGCTTCTGTGGCACCACCGCCTTGGTCACCCCTCCCTTCCTCGCCTTCGTAGCATGCACTCTCGCTCCCTGGTCTCTGGGCTTCCCAGGTCTCTGCCTGCCCTCCCTCCCTCGCCTGCGCCGCCCTGCATTCCCTGCGTCGAGGGGCGGCAGCGCGCAGCTCCTCACTCCTCCTCGTTTCCTCCCACAGAGGCTCCCCTGCAGACGCTCCACCTGGACGTGTGGGGCCCAGCCCGCGTCCAGGGACAGGGCCGTGAGCGGTACTTTTTGCTGGTTGTCGACGACTACACGCGTTACACCATGGTCTTCCCCTTGCGCAGCAAGGGGGACGTCCCTGCTGTTTTGATCCCCTGGATCCGCGCTGTGCGTCTCCAGCTCCGCGAGCGGTTTGAGCGGGACTTCCCTGTCCTGCGTCTGCACTCTGACAGAGGTGGTGAGTTCTCCTCTGACCTCTTGGCAGCCTTCTGTGCGGAGCACGGCATCACCCAGTCGTTCACGCTTCCGGCCTCTCCGCAGCAGAATGGGGTTGCTGAGCGCCGCATTGGCTTAGTCATGGAGGTCGCTCGTACCTCCATGATCCATGCGGCGGCTCCCCATTTTCTGTGGCCGTTCGCGGTCCGGTACGCCGCGCATCAGCTCAACCTCTGGCCCCGTGTCTCCTTGCCGGAGACCTCGCCCACGCTGCTGTGGACGGGGGAGGTTGGCGATGCGTCGCGTTTCCGGGTCTGGGGTGCTCGTGCCTTTGTCCGCGATCTCACCGCGGACAAGCTCTCTGCTCGCGCCATTCCCTGCGTCTTCCTTGGTTTTCCTCCTGACGCGCCTGGCTGGCAGTTTTACGACCCCACCTCGCGCCGTGTCTTTGCGTCTCAGGACGTCACCTTTGACGAGTCTGTTCCCTTCTACCGTCTCTTCCCCTACCGCACTGCCTCTCGCCCCCCCCCGCCGCTCTTTCTCGCTCCAGGTCCTCCCCAGGTAGACCCCCTCCCCGCGCCAGGTCCTGCTCCTTCAGGTGTTTCTCAGGTAGACCCTCCGGTACCTGCGCCTGTTGAGGTCACTGGTGACTCAGGTCCTGCTGGAGGTGGTCCTGCTCGGGGTGCTGTCTCTGGGGGTGCTGAGCCTGGGGGTGCGGAGCCTGAGCGAGAGGCGCCTGGAGGTGCTGAGCCTGAGGGTGCTGAGTCTGGGGGTGCTGTGCCTGCGCGTGAGGAGCCTGGAGGTGCTGAGCTTGGGGGTGTCGAGTCTGAGGGTGCGGAGCCTGAGCGAGAGGAGCCTGAGCGAGAGGAGCCTGGAGGTGCTGAGCCTAGGGGTGCGGAGTCTGAAGGTACTGAGCCTGCGCGTGGGGAGCCTGGAGGTACTTCGCCTGGAGGTTCTGGAGCTGCTAAGGGTGCTGGCGCTGAGGGTTCTGAGTCTATGGTTGCGCGGTCTCCTTGGAGTAGCCGCCTTCGTCCGCGTGTGCCTCTCACCCCACAGCAGCTGCAGGACTGGTACGGTCGCCGTCCGCGTCGCGCTGCTGGAGCCCGGGGCTCTGCTGCTGGAGGTACTTCTACTGCCGTCGCTGGAGCTAGGAGTGGTGCTGGTACTTTGTCTACTGGAGGTGCTGGAGTCGCTGGTCCCGGAGGTGCTCGTACTGGAGGTACTGGAGCTGCTGGGGCTTGGGGTGCTGCGTCTGGAGGTGCTGCTGCTGGAGACACTGAGACTGGAGACCCTGGGACTGGAGGTGCTGGTTCTGGGGGTGCTGCTGCTGGAGACACTGCGGTTGGAGACCCTGGGACTGGAGGTGTCGGTTCTGGGGCTGGAGCTTCTGGAGCTGCTGGAGGTTCTGGAGCTGCTGGAGCTACTGGTACTGGTGCAGCTGCGCCGACACGACTGTTCTTCGCTCCGCCGTCTCCGTCGTCTCTGCCGCCGCCTGACTCTGCTCTTCGTCAGGTTGTTACTCTTCCCTCGTCTACTGGTCTTCCGTTACAGCCTGGCTCACCGCTGCCTGCTCCCTCTCCTTACACTGAGCAGACAGGTAGTCCTGCTGAGCGTCGTGAGCCTACGTCGCGTCCTGTCTCGCCTGTTCGTCCTGGTCATACCGGTCGTCGTGTTCCTCGTTCGCGTCAGCCGGCTGTCCCCAGCGCACACCTCGTAGTCCGTCGTCCTTCCTCTGCTCCGCAGCCTGTTCCTCTGCCGTCTCCCCCTGCGTCCTCTTTGCCTGACGTTCCGGACCCTGAGTCTGACCGGTTTCGTGCTGAGCACCCTACTGTCACGCGTCTTCTAGCCACTGTTGTCACTGACCCGTCGTTTGAGTCTACTGCTGCGTCTGCTCTTGTCGCTGAGCTTGTTGACTTTGCTGCTGCCTGTCGTCTAGACTTTGCTGCCGGACTTGTTGCTGAGTCTGAGTCTGTCTGTCCTCCGTCCGTTGGGGGTGAGTGTGCTCTTGACACGGACGTCCTTGAGGACAGACAGGAGGAGTTCCAGTGCTTT